TTGAACCAGCTGTTGAGATTATTTAATTCCATTTAAATATGAGTAGCCTACTCATATGGTTAACATGGGAAACTCCAGAGCCACTGGGGCGGAGCCCTTTTGACGGATCTGCACCAAAATTCACACAAACCATCCTTGAATAATGCTTAATAATGCCTGAAAGTTTCATTACAATCTGTCAAGTGGTTTCAGAGTCCATAAAGGACAAACAAACAAACAAACACACATTGGATTTTATATAATATAGATAAATAATTTTACAAAAAAAAACACATGTCCATCTGCCAGTTTTAGCTAAACAAGCAATAATTCCCGCCTCACGGTCTCGCGTGGAATTCCCGAACGTTTAACGATTGCAAAATTATGCGTACATAAAGTAGGTAAAAGAATTTTAATCAAACTTGCCTTCTAGTTTACTAATAATTTAAGTTTAGTATTATAATATTGCTGCTTTTGTACTACATGATTTGGTAGCTAAAATGTAAATTATGGAAATGTCGAGTAAGTTGGACAATCAATTACTATTTTTTCCCTAAAGCTCAATTGATTGGTCCAGTAGTTTTCATGTCGTGTAATACCAAACCAGACGAATTCACAAACATCCATACTTCCCCACTTATAATATTAGATGGTAGGATTCGTAGAAGTTTTTTGAATCAGCTGTTTGAATTGAAAGTGTAATAGTTTTCATCACTAGGGCGTAAAGTGACTCTTTTCGACACAAGCTTAAGTATCACGACCAAGGCGAAGCCTAGTTTGGAAAGTGAGTTAGGGTTGAAAAGACAGTTTTTGCCCGTGTGATAAACTTCACTTTTTGTCATATTACACTATCAATTTATATCATTAAAGCAAACTAAGTCACAAAACAAAAATAATTGTCATAGCTCCCAAAGTGATTTCCATCTTGTTTACAATTTTTCTATTGGAACAAGCAGCTGTTTAGTAAGGTAAATTCATTTCGTCTAATATGACGATTGTGTTTTGTTCCATTAACTATTGATCGATATCGATGTTCAACTATCACGAATACTAGAACAGACCCGGTATGGATCAGAAACATAAACAAATGATGTTGCTGGCCCGAAAAAATACGTATTATTTATCATTGCTTAAACGAAATTTTCGAAATCATATGTTAATGCTATTAGTATAGGATTCGGGCTAGCAACGTCATTTGTTTATTTTTATGATCCATACCGGTTCTGTTCAAGTATTCGTGTGAGCTATTGATACATAAATAGTTTTCTTGAGGTTCTTAATAATCTCTCAGTGCAGTAATCTGTCACCCCATGCATCTACCTTAGATTCAACGATTCAACGAAAACAAATTTGAATCCGACAACGAAAACAATGCAACAATGAACTACAATCGATACAACAGATAGTTCCATACAGCCGATTGCTTTATGGGTCGTGTAGTGAAATACGAATTTTCCCGAGGTAGTGGCTGTGGTTAGTGCCAGAAATAAATTATTTACAGCATTTGAAGGAAACCATCGAAGCCATTTTCGAGGTCTTTGTGTAAGCATACAAACATACTGTACAAGCAGATATTGATCATATAAGAGTATATGAATTTTCAGCAATAAACTTGCTGAAAATTCTAAGTTATGTTTTGAAATGAGGGTGGGTTGGTGAGTTATGACTGGTTATGAACTTGCAATCTAAGTTAACAAAATAACCAAAATGTGCCGCTGACGTCATCGACTCCAGCTGATTGTTACTCCCTAGGGAGAAAAGTAACTACTTTCAACCTGCAATGCATGTAATGAAATCAGCTGTTTTTTTTTTTGTAGTACGACAAAAATTAAGAAACATGAAAAATGCATAATTATGTAAAATCTATCTATATACAAAATACTATAATAAGGGGTTTCTCTGTAACATCCCTTTTTAAGCTGTCCTACTTAACACATGCTCACGATTGAGGTGTCATTTTGAAGCTTATGATCCATTGCACCTGCGGATGGCAACGGAAAATGTACATCACCTCATTGCGTTTGAACTATTCTAGACTTCACTTTCAAAGATCCAGTCTTGCTGACAAACTTGCTGTATAATGAATTGGTTTAAATATGAATTGTAATCCAAAAGCTGATCCTTTAGTTGAATGTTTAAATTGTTACAAACTGTATTGTATTTTTTGTTAATATTTTGTTGTTATTATTAGTTTTTTAGAGGTTAACTGTAAGGGAGGTCCTAAGTTCGCCTCAATAAAGAAGGATTTTCATTTAATTTCATTCATTTCAATGTTTAACCACAGTCAGATCGTTAACAAGAGACAGACAAAACAGTGTATGGAAATAGTAATTGCAACCTGATTGAGGTTGGTACACTCTTCAGTCTATAAGGGGTAGATCTAGAACTTTGAAAAGTAAAAGGTATTGCATTATTATTTTTACCTTGGAATTAGGATTTGAACTCAACTTTGCGCAATTTGAGCAAGACCCCCCTCGTGTTTTATTAATTGAATTGCTTACATCGCCTGACAAGAATCACGATTTATTCTTACCTTTTTCATAGTTGTGTTTAGAATAAATTAAACCCATGTCTTGGTCCAATTTGAGTTTCAATATACAAACTCAAATTGCAGTTTTTTTTTTTATGTCAAGACCGATAAATATGCAATTTAAAAAACCCCAACTCAGAACTTCCTCAGAAAGTCACCGTGGATATTTACATCTACCTTGATCTATAGATAGGTCTGTATAGGTCATCTATATAGATATGTTAAATACAGTAAATGAATGTATAGAACTTAAAACTTATCAACAATTGAGTAATTCTACAGAGTTTCAACGCCTAAATATCCGATTACTATTCATATTATTACGAACAATCTGCCAAATTCATGCAGTTTTGAGGGTTAAACCCTACAACACGATATGAATTAAGAATTGAATTGAAATTAACGTACAAGGTTTAAGATTAACAAATTGATTTTAGTTTAATTCATAAACTGTGTTTGACAATTGGCTTATAATTACGCAAACTATTTAATTTAAATAATGGAATACAAATCCCTATAATACCCAAATAAATGCATTGACAATAAATACACCGACATTAAACACAACTGCATGGATTGGAAATCAAACTGTGACAAATACACATAAATCATACCTCGATTACAATCTAATTCCAGCCAGATGCAAATGTTAAACAACTTGCTAATCTGCCAAACAACCAGACGTTAAATTAAAAAAAAAAAACTATGATAAAAATCCATAGAACAAATTCATATTCGAGAATTCAAAAATCGTTCACTAATCTCTCCAAATATATAGGTAACTCGGTAAACCGAAGTCTGTAAACATAACTACATGGATATGTGGTAAGCAAATAGAAATACACCATACCTCGATTAAAAGCTAAGTCCTTTCCCAAATCCAGATGCCTATGACACTGCACAAAACCAACAAACACAAAAAACACAAGCGCAGTAACACAGAGCCCCATGATTGAGGACTGGCCGTCGGCCGTGAAGTAGGCGTCCAGACCGGTCCCGGACGAGTTTGCCGTTTTCCTTATCTGTAATGAAGGTGATTATGTTGGTTTCTTACCTTACGATTGTATCTGCCATGCAAATAAGTAACACGAGAACTTAACTCTCCCCAACCCAAGATTTGATGGGGAAAATATTGCGGAAACGGTTTCGTCCCCTTTTGGAATCCTTTTGTTAAAATAGATACGAGATCACATCAAACGTTGTTTAAGAGGTTGGCGGCCTCTTTTAACCTTGCAGGCCTCAGATGTTATATAAGCAGCTAAGACTCAGAAATGGTTAAGAAGAATGGATAATAGTGAAAAATTAATAGTTAAAATTAGTGGCATTATCCATAGTTCATTGACTATTGGATACTGAAGTTGTATTGAAAGTCAAAGGTTATACCAGTGGTTATAGTGCACGCGTAGTAATGCACTTTTATTTCGAAACGGTTCATCAATAAATACTTTTAAATATTGTACAACGTGTTTAACAGTATTGGTAAAAACTAAACAAGTGTTTTTTTTTCTGTTTGCCTTGATTAAAATAGCTGTTAATGCCAACAATATATGCGTGTTTATGAGTTGGTTTTGTTTTGATATAATTGGTCACTTGATTGAGCGGAGCGAGCTAAGCGTTGGATACGTTGACTCTTGCATTTCGTCATACGCGAAATCTGTTTCAGATAGCTGAAGCAATTATTTTCAAATTGTGCATGGTGAAGTCCATGACGGCGAGTGCCATTTGTATGGCGTTACTAAAATTCCCCCAGGAATCCGCCCCAACGGATCTCAATGTTTCAATGTAATCCTTAGGAAACGTCTAATAGAGTAACCGCAATTTTAAAACAGAAACGGTATAGATGGATCATAATCATACACATTACGTCATTGGCTTGAACATTAACATTAACATATACTTCTATATAAGTATTTATATACTTCTTCTTTGTTGTTCATGTTTTATTGTTATTTATTGATTTGTTTTGGAAATTTCCATTTAATACGATTTTTACCCGATATGAAATAAGCTCATTTTTGTATGTTTACATATTTTGTTACTGCTCAATTGAATTTATTTATATTGAATGTCATTTTCAAGAAAAAATTACGTATTTTTGTATTTACTTTAAGTAAGAATAAGTCATCACTGTATTTATCACAAATTTCTTCTTGATCGTTGAAAGGTATGTGTAATATAAAATATAAATAAATCAAATATAGTTTGGAAGTTTTTTGACACTTTTGAAATGATAATTGAAATATATTTGCTTTCATCATTTGCCAGTGGCGAAGTGGTGTAATTTGTTTATGTTTATGATCAATACCGTTCCCGATCTTTTAGTGTGTGGTTAATTCTTGGTTTCAGTTTCAACATTATTGAAATCTCAACCCCCAATTTGAAACAAAAAATTGACACAGTTACAGTAGCAACTGCTGTTACATGTCTCAATTGTTGAAGCGTCTTTCAATTCTTAGCTGAGTTTAATTAAGCATTCAATAAAAACACAAACTAAGGAAAGTATTGTATATTTATTATAAATAGTATAAAATATCATATAGTTTTGGAACTATCTCTATAAAGCTGTGACTTTGACATATTCAACTTGAAGTGAGGAAGCGTCATTCCAACTTGGATACCAGCTGGCTTTGTCATCCCAAAATCGAAGAAATCTCTGCAAAAACAAAACATCATTATTTTTAATTTATTTAACAAATTTTATAAAACAAATAGAATGAAAAATACAAGAAAATGAAAAATGCCACATTATTTTATAAACAACGTTATATGAGACTTAAATGGAATAGTAGATTTTACAAACTAGTTTACATTTTGGAATAATGTAAAGATTATACGGTTGACTACGATAAAATAATAATAAGTAAACATAAAATGTATGGGTTTTGGTTGAAATTTTCATATTTTAGAATTAGCATAAATAGTAGTACATTCAGCAAATTTCAAAAATTGCTCTATCATCTTTGAGGTTCTGTTGGTTTAAGTATTATTAAAATAAAACACTTGCCATAAATACAGTTATTATCCCTGTAGATTAAAATTTTAAGGTAAGTTTTTGACTGAAATGTAGAGTAAATTTAGTCATTCTACTAATTTTGTTGTTGCGTTGTTAAAACAACAAAATTATTTAAAACAAAGTTATTGATTATACTTTATTGTCATAACCACATACTATAAAGTTGACCTACAAAAATCTTGGGAAAAACATGGAACACAGAGGAAAACAAGATTAAGGTTAAACTGTAGGATAAGGAGTCAACTTACCGAATCCAAAGTTGATTGATATATCTGGGTACAGTATTTACAATATGTAACTGTTTATATATTTGATTCATCCCTACAATATGTTTAACATTATTTACCAAAAGTGTAAAAAAATTAAATGAACAAAAACACCTTAGATTAATATTTGATGCATAGTGAAGAACCCAAATATTCCAGCATTCAATATCTAAAATTCCCTCCAATACCAGAATAGAATTTGTGATTCAATGATGGGAAAGCAAATTCTAAATCGGCCAAGAAACATGTTGAGATTTGACAGAGCTTAAGCTTATGAGGTGAATATAGTCTTACAGGAACTTCATGATCACGTCACAAAATTACTTTATGAAGACTAAAACAGTATCACTAATGTATTAATTACCGTACATTTGATCGAACAAACTTTATGACACAGCCTTGATTTTTTAACAACAGAGAGTAGAATTGACTATTAACAGCTGATGGATTTAAAAAAAACATCTGACCAAAATACACCATTAAGTATCTACATTGATTGGACATTTTAATGCGGTCTACCATAGCCTCATCTAACACAAGGCCGTGTTAGAGGTGTTGGTGTGTGGCAACCGCGCATAACAGAAATAACAAAGTTGTTAACATACAAATTTCCTATGCCGTCCATTATAAATTAGTGCACCAGCTGTTTCGGTTTGACGGGATAGCGGTGCTGCCACTTTTGTCTCGCCCAGGCCTTAATTGTGTTAGAGGAGGTTACAGGTCAACTATAGGACCATTTTAATGCAGTCTACTATAATAGTTCTGTGGATTTACTAATAATAGTATTATTGAACTAAGGATACATATCACAAATTATTCAATGATTTTTTGCATTCAAGAAGAAGAAACGGATACATATGGAACTAGTCTAAGAAAATAGTTCCGGGCAGTTGACAGCACCTTAAAAGCACCTTAAACATTAACCTTGATTTTTTTTTTTGTTCGAGGCTGGAGAAGATCCAACGCAAGGAATTATCTCCTCTCTCTTACAATTACTTCTGAAGAAGCCCTTTGGACGTGCAAAATTTTAATTTGTATGAAATCAAGTATATTATGAACAATGTGCTATCAACAGACTGATACTCTTTTCTTAAGTAATTTATTTGCCTGTCCTATCCTTCATACTAATTGGTTTCTCACAAGTATTCACAGGTTCGGTAATCAAATACTGATTTTTCTCTCTAGCATTCTAATTCATATCAATCCATGAAATCAGCCCCTCAAAAAAAAAAAAAAATAAATAAATAGCACACCCTTTACACAGACATCAAACACAAACATTGCAATAGCCTAACTCATTTTCCACCAACTTTAAAGACACAAAAATCCACTTTCAGAAGCTTTGAAAGACTTTTGAAGAAAACTCCAATCACAGCCATGCAAACATTTACATGCACACAATGGATTCCACACGATGCTGATGAAAAGCTTTGAACAATCAATCATGTATGACATTTTATTTTACCTCTAGTTTGTAGTAAGTGTCAATTATATACTTCGGATAGTCCACCCATGTTAGATTCTAGAAACAATTACAGTTAAATTTGAAAAAAAATTACCTACAAGTAGTTTTTAAAATAAAAATAAACTATTGCATTATGTTTAACAAATTGACTCTAAATGCATAAGCAAGGGACACTGAACATCTTCCTCTTTGCCATTGACCAGTGTTGCCGAATAGTCTGTGTCATACAAACTTGTTCAAAACTAACATTTACAACGGATTAAACAGTCATGTTCCCACAAATTTCAAAGAACACCTAGGTTGAGTTCAGGAGGTTGTTAGATCCCAAAACTTGTTAATGCTGTCTACTCTTTATTCCGTGATACTATATAAGCCAATAGTGATTATTTCGTAAAATAGTAAAACTAAACACCTCATCACTGGTCTCATATCTTTCCCACTAAAAAAGTCATTTCAGTACCGCCCACTTCCTGCCGACGCTGTCCGGGTGAAACAATTTGCTGATAAAAATTGTCTGGTTAAAGAGATGTCTCTTCTGCCAAGTGTAGTCCAGTTAAACCGATGTCCGGTTAAAAGGTGTCAGGATAAGAGGGAATCTACTAAGTGTCTAATTGTTGTCAGTGGTAATTGTGACATGGTAGACAAGACATGTGTGAGCAGGTATAACGCTTCCTACCAGCTCTTCCAAAGAAACTTGAAATTCTAATGATTTGGACCTGACACAAAAAACATGGAAGTTGAACTCCTGATCTCCAGTGATAAATAGAGGAAAACATCTTAATTTCCAACCCTAATTGTGTATAATCTATAATGTTAGGATTTTAGGTTGAAAGTTTCAACCTCTTTCAACTTTAAAAGATATACTTACTTTAGGATCTGTGTTTTTCCAGGGTTTGTTGGGGATACTGTCAGGAAAGTCTCGATTTCCCGCCACATGAACTCCGAGTGAAATGTGAACCTGAAATTTAAGTATTAGTATATATACATATTGGGATTTTCATGGAAGCGCTGTAATACTACTGGTAAAATATGTACATCATATCAACATTACATTTTGGATACATCTTGTAAAAAAATTCGGTGAAATACTGTACACACATTGATCTAAAGGCGGTTTTAATTTTTTACTTTCTCCACCTATACATAGTGTATAATATGGAGTAAGTATTCTTTTTGCAAATTTAAGTTTGAGATTTGGGTGAAATATCCGTTTTGGGTCTCTTGATCCCAAAAAAGTAGTTTTCGGAGTGATTTATCTCTGTGTGTGAGTGTATGTGAACGCTTACACCTGTGAGAACTTCAGAACTCAGACTACACCTGTGCTCTAATTTCAATAAATTTTGGTACGTAAGTTCTAATTTATTGTCTCTCCAGGTATTTTTTTTTTCATTTTGATTTAAAATAGTGTTTTATGTTTAAACCCATAAAATAACAGAAAACCCTCTGGAACTAATTGAAACTAACTTGAGAAACTTAAGAAAAAACTGCTCAAAACATTTCAACTAAAATTTAGCTTTTTATTGTAGTATACACTCATATAACTTACTGGGAACCAATAGTTAGAAATAAAATATTCGTTATGATTGAAATCATACAATATCGGGTGTCCGAAAAAGAACTGAAACATATTAAAGGCAAATACTGATACCAAATAAGAGACTATGTTTAATGTTTTATATATGTATTTAAAGCTTAAATTCTTAAGTTTTATTAGAAACTTAGTATAACTCGATATGAGCACCTTTAGTGGCCTGGCAAAAATCTAAGTGAAATTTGACCTTTTCCCAGGTTTTGGTAAGTACTTCAGGGGGTACAAATGGTGCCATTTAATGTGACATGTTAAATGAGTATTTTTCCCATAGTTGGTGACATTGAGATGGGGAATGGCCCTGTCTATTTTCAACAGAATGGAGTGCCACCACACTACAGTTTGCGTGTGCGAGAAGCGCTGGATACTCGTTTCGACGATCGGTGGATTGGCAGGGATGGAAGGGCCCATCCAATGGCCTCCTAGGAGTCCAGATATGACTTCTCTGGACTTTTTCCTTTTGGGGCGGTAAATAATTATGTCTACCCAGTGCAAATTCGAGATCTGAATCACCTCTGACAGAGAATAGTTACATGTGTTGGTGCAACATCCTCTGAAGTACTGACCAATACCTGGGAAGAGGTCAAATTTCGCTTAGATTTATTCCGGGCCACTAATGGTGTTCATATCGAGTTATACTAAGTTTCTCATAAAACTTGAGAATTTAAGCTTTAAATACATATATAAAACATTGAGTAAGTCTCTTATTTGGTATCAGTATTCACCTTTAAAATGTTTCAGTTCTTTTTCGGACACCCGGTATTTACAAATCCAACTGTGCAGTAAGTTTTCTATTCTTTTCCAGATATTTTCTTACAATGGTCTCAGCTGCACTTAGATTAGTTGGTAAGGTAAGGAAGAAGGAACACCTGGATTGGACATCCTGGGTAAGGAGTGACATGATTCTGGGGTTGGGTGTACAAAGTGACTCACCTATCCTATCAGAGCTGTCACCGATACCGCTTGGCTATCTGCTACCGTTGGTATATCCATTCAAATCTGGGTTCAAAGGACCTTGGCTCCATCAACATCTCTACTATATTATTACTTAAAATATGAGTCTTTATTCCTAATTAATAGTTCCCAGTATGTTACAAGTATACGGTAGCATACTTTTTCTTAAGGCATATTACCTACTTAAGAATGACACTTTAAAGTTACAGCCCAGATAACTTATGAACTTTCCGAGTTTTCCAATGAAGAAATTACGATTTATATCCTAGAACACTAATTTACTCTTGACAAATTATCTTTTGAATTTACTATACCATTCTATTTAGTAGATTTACTACACTCTGATTAGTCTGCTATAAGGGATGTATTCTTCAAATCAACTTACCTCCTTAGATAAGACTGAAAAATTCACAGTTCGCATTTGGTGAACCTCTTCATTGTCTACAGTAAATGTAATTTGATCTATAAACAAAAAACATATTAAATATCAAACCAATTTTAATATGAGCGTTTTTTTTACATAAAATAATTAGTCATAACTTCATACAGTAAACTGAATGTCTTCTTATGAAGCCTTGTTCTACATTTTCTTAAACTTATTGTATCAATTATTTCCCCAAAAGTCACAGATTTAATTTTCTGCAGATCTAGTTTGCTTGTAGGAGAATTAAGTCAAGTGTATGGTGATGAATTTACTTTAACAACTTGGTTTGCTGATGACAATCTTTTTTTACAATGGTCAAACATGGTTCTCGTCTAAATATTTTGTGAGATTTTATGTTTAAATAATTAATTAAATGTATTATGTAATCATACATCATCTTTTGTATAGTCTTTTCCCATTTTAAGCCTGCTATCTCAATAAAAATCCAAAAAGTAATGGTTACCACATATGATACGTACCTGGTGTCCAGACAATTTTGAACGTGTGAAAGTCCTGCGCCCAAGGAGTATCCTGAGTTTTCTTCCCCAAGGATGACTGAGCTCCTGTTACTCCGGCCTCCAACGTTTTCCATCCAAACTCGGAGTCATCCATGTTGCCCCGAGACAGACCAACCACCACCCTCTCTGAGGCCGGACCGTTCACTGGCTCCAGCCACAGTTCTGACAGAGAAAACAAACTAGTTTTTATTTGTTGAGTTTCATCTCTTTTACATTTTTTAACCCTTTATGTATCTTAGAAAGGAGATGTTGTACAAGTATTGTGATAATTGTGTGATGCAAGTTTTGTATACTGATGAATATAAACTCACTTACTGGACTTTATTTATTAGAGTGTTTAAATTGTAATAACTACTTCAAAAAATTAAACGGAAAGTAAATAAAAGAAACGTCTTATAACACTTAAAACATATATTTACGCTTATACTGTTACTCACAAGACGGTAAATATACAAAAACGATGGTAAGTGGTGATCGATTTCGATTGGACACTCCAATCATCATCAGACCCAATAGGCGAATGATGATTGATGATTGAATGATGAATCATTCGCCTATTGGGTCTGATGATGATTGGAGTGTCCAATCGAAATCGATCACCACTTACCATCGTTTTTGTATATTTACCGTCTTGTGAGTAACAGTATAAGCGTAAATATATGTTTTAAGTGTTATAAGACGTTTCTTTTATTTACTTTCCGTAAATTTAATAACACGTACAATGCTGATCAAGAAGTTATTTAAAAAATTAAAGCAATACCATAATACTAAGAAACACCCAGAATGTAACACCTAGTAACTATGAATTTGGAGGCAGGTAGACATTCCCATGTTAAAATGTTGTAAAATGTTGTAAAGTGTTGTAAAATGTTGTTAAAATTGTTCATCCTAGTATTAGGATGAAAATAGACATTTTGACTTAAACCACTAACAGAATGTGCTTGTGTCGGTCTTATCATTGACTATTGGATACAGAAGGTTTATACACCAACTGTTTCACAAATTCAAATTGAAAAGGCAATATACATGAAGGTATTAGCATTTTTCATGTCACAGCAATCATCTAGTATCAAAAACTAAGAGAGAAAATCAAATTTTTACAGTAGCACTTAGTGGACGACTTATTCCACCTTGCTCAATTTGAGGGAAAAGATTAGCTCCTGCTGGTCCAAAGATGGGATATCAACTTCAGGATAGAAAATCAATGCTAGTGATATTATTTGATCTATATATTTTACCATCCAGCCTCACTGTTTTCTTTACTTATAAGTGTATTTGTTTATATAAAAGTTTACTAAAGGTCTCTGACCCATGAAGAATGGCCTCGAAGACAGGTTGAATTGACTTACCCGGTACAATCCATTTCCCTTGTGGCAATTTGGCTTTGATTTCAACAGTTCCGTATCGGAAACTTAGTTTGTCTTTGGTAGAGAGTCTTGCGGACATGATCGGGGGAAGAATCAGATAACGGATGGCTTGGCGGTGACATTGCTGGGCTACATTGGAAGTACAACTAGAAAAACACATACAAATCAAGTGTTAATTTTTGAGTAATCACAAAGAATAAATAGGTGAGATAATTAGCGATTTATACCAGCTATTTAAAAAAGTTCAGCAGTTCTTATCCATCAAGCATATCCACTTAGAATGCCCCAGGACACCATAAAATTATTAATATGAGTAACTCTTTATTAACATTAATGACAAACAAGTTCTCTATTCATGATTCTATTCCTTTGATATAACAAAATTGCAGCATGTATGAAGAAAAAATGATGACTTACCCTTCCAGTAAATATTCTCCACTCCTCACAAAGGAATCGTTGGATTTGTCCTCCAACAGTGTGGGTTTAATCATCAATTTCCCATTGTCCAACCAACTGTTGGATGTATCTTTTGTGAAAACCATAAACTCGTCTTCCTACATAGCAAACAAAAGCGGTAGCAAATTATTTGGGAGTAGTGTACAAAAATTAAAATAGTTTTGTAAACGGAGTATTTTTCCTTAGATATTACCAAGAGCTCAATTTCCAAGTACATAACATCAGGTCCACAATACACAATATTTAGATATCTCATACTAGCTATACCGATACATAGATACATATATTTTTGTAAACACTAAAAACTAAAAAAAAAAACAACAGTACTTACAGGTGAATCTCCCCCTATTGTCACTTGATGCCTCCATCCCTTCATGTCATTGAATTTTTTGTTGAGAAGTACGTCTCCACCACATACAGAAACTGTGTTTCCATCTCGAGTGGTCTTGGTGGGACGGCACGAAGGATCCGGGATCCTATCAGGTATGAATTCGTCTGGTTTGTTGTGCGGATTGTCTACAAGCAACAATCAAAGTTATTGTATCGGAAATTAACTGCCATGACAGTACTGTAGGTCTAAAAATTGTATCACTTGCATAGTTAGCCACAATAATAGTCACAACTCAATATGGTAGAGTGCCACTATTCCAAAAACCACTATTTGGTAGATCCGCCTATTCTAAGCTAAAGTTTGGAAACTATTTTTTAAGACGTTACAAATGAATTTAAAACATATCCTGCGGTTGCAGAGACATCATCATCATCTTCTGAAAACCATGAACATAATCTGCTATCGCGATGATTAATTATTACAGAAATCCAATTATTCAGAATTCCCAGTAATCCAAACAGGGTTCGGTGGTTGCAAGTTATGTTTAGTTAGTTCGGAATAGCGCGGGACTCTACTTTAGTAAAATTACAGTATACACCGTAAGTTACAAAACCATGACAAAAGTTATTTTCAGTAGATAAAAAACCTTCCTTCAAAGAGCTAAATCTTTGTTTCACATGATTTATTTAGACCAGCTTATTCTATAGGAAAAGTACAAAGGCAGCTTATTGACAATATGGGATGAAATATTATTTTTGTTTGCTTGTGTTGAGGCTCAGATTCACACAAAAGGCTGATTACCCAACCTGTCCTCATTTAAACTTCCAGTGATTAATTACACCCACCTACTGCGGTCTGAAAACTATTAAGTAAAACCCCCCAAACTATCAACTGCTTCCAAAGATTTGTTCCACATACTTTCAGCAGATATTAACCTTGAAATGAAGCTTTTGATGACTTCAAGAAGAGCAAGGTATTTTTAGTAGAATGTAAAACATTAGTTTTACAATTTAGAACGAACGGAAAATTATTACAGCATTGATTCTGAATTCACTCTGTGAACTGGAAAAGACAAGGAAATGGGTGATTCTTCTAGGATGTAGAGACAAAGGAACTATTTGCTGAAAGTTGCTGGGATTTTTTTAAGATTTTTTAAGCATATGAAAACAGAGAATAAAGGCTGGTAATCCAGAACATCATCTTATTGAGTAGGAATCTTGTTTATTGTTTTTTGATAAATGAATCAAAGATTGAACATATTGTCATTATTGTGTGGGTTCAACCAAAATCTATATTTTTGCGAGTGTAAGCCCTGAAGCAGCCGCTATATTTACTCCACCATAAGGACATCACTGACTGGCAGCTAGGTCTAGTTTTGAACCATCATAAACCTACCAACTTTTCTTAAGATTTATGGTGTTTATGATTATTGGATAAGCACTAACCCCTCAACCAACCAGCTTAACATAATATCAACCCAAAAAGTACCCAACTAGGCATTTTAGAGATTTAAACTCATTTCCCTTATTGTGGCAGATTACTCAAAAAACTTACTCATCGTCACCCTATATTCTCGGTCTAGCCCATTATAGGCTAGCTTGTCCACTATGACGTGTATCCAGTAATATATGACATCTCCCTTTTTCACTTGAAACTCAGGGATGTAATAACTCCATCTTCCATTTCTCTTCTTGGTGATGTCCACTCCGAATTGTCCATGCTGGAGCCCTTGGAACTCTTCATTTATGTTGATATGGTAAGCAACGAGTTTGATTTCTGGGTCATCATCTATGAATAAAATGTAGTACGGTAACTTAACTAACAGTATTTTTTTTTTTGTTGGAAAAAATTATTTTTGCTTGGTTAAAGTTGGGATGAAGACACAATGTATAATATTTACCCAGTAATGGATCTAAAAAAAATCATTGGTTATGAGGGTGAAAAAATATACTTTTTAGTTAAAAACCTTGTGTGGAGGGGTTTTCACATTGAAAATTTACAAAACCAAACACCCTTGTTGCTGCTTGCAGAAAATCTGCAGATTCAAAATTTGCAGTAAACTCAAACAGTCATTAGCATATTACGTTTTTGAAATTTTAATATCACACAGTATCAACAATAATATAAAGAGTTTAAGAGAAGAATCTAACAAGGAGGTATATTTGGAGGTGAACAAGAGGTAGAGGTGTAGAACTATTGTAGTACCGTGCAACTAACAAATATAAAAGAAATAGACAGAATAATAAACTCACCCTTGAATTCATTTGTATACCATACTTTTTTATAAAGCATTTAAAATATTAATTTTATTCGTCATGATGTAACAGTTTTATGAATAAAAAAAACATAAATGATAGTTTAACAAAAGTAAACAAACGCCACAAATATAATACAATTTGAAGCCTCTTTTTAAAATCTTTGCTGCAAGTACTTTAAGTTTAAGTACTGCATTGCTGGTTAAATACCTTTAAATACTGTTGAAAAAATATTTGTATCCTATTTTACACTGTAAATTATTCAGTGTTTACAAACTGTTTTATAACTATTATATTCTATAATATATAGTTATTAATATTTTATGTATATTTTTTAAACTATTATTTTACAACAACAATGCTACATAACAGCATATGCCAGTTATATTGTTGCATTAACCATTCAAAAAGGTTTAAAGAGTAATCAAAATAAAATATAAATATAATTAGGGAAAACGTCCTTCAAATGGGAGCAGTCTTCAAACAATTTATTTCAAAATATAAATATAAAAGTGACAATTAATAATTAAATATATTACACAACAAGAACATTTAATAACTAAAATACTACTGATGGTTATGAATCAAACATAAATAAATCTAATTTAGATTTATTTATGTTTGATTCATAACCATCAGTAATCTAATATAATATTTGGTTAAAGAAGCCTACCAAGGAAAAGGTAGAACCTACAGAGCATCCATCTATGGTTAATAGTTCAAAAGTTAGTTAACATTATGGGTTGTAATAAGAATAAGGTAGAGAGGAATTAAATAGATAAAAGGCATATAGTTACAGAATGTGAAAACCCCTTAGAATAGTATCTTGGCTCTCTCTATAAATCTATAAGGGGATATTTTTACTCCATGCTTTAATCTCTCTATTTTTACAATTAAGAAGTTGATCCACTAAAAAAATAACAAGTTTACTTCAAAACAAAAATACAATTAAAATGTCTGTACCAACTTGTATGCTAGCATTATAAACTGTTCACTTACCTGGTATAGAAATCCTTAACCCTCTTGGACTAAGAAATTCCAAAGATGCCTCGGGCACAATGTATCTTTGACTTTGTACACCACAAAGTAATGCAGTGAGTGCTAAAACATGACAAACCAAGTTGCTCATTGTTACACAAAACAACTCATCTGACTGAGGGGTTAGATTTGACTAAAATCAGCTGATTATACCAACTACCAACCAGCTGATATGAGCAACAAGAAATGCGAGGTCATCTCTGGTCAACCGGTTTTGTATTTGTGCAGACTTTCCTCAACGAGCTAAGGGATTCCCAGATTTAATATAAGAATTTATTAATAACTACAAACTACCGTAATGTGTTAGGTTTGTTTGCCCGATATCCGCTTGCATTATCAATTCAATCCCTATGTTCTGATTTTTTTAGCTCTGTCAACTTAAAGTCATAATTAATTGAAAAAAAAACTATCATTTTTTATAATAAGCTGTAAGCATTCTATTACAAAATTACAATCACAAAATTACAGAATCAACATTACAAAATTGCAAACAAAATCACATTAGTGCATTTCCGTACATAACATTTTGAACTTTTATCGTACTAAGTTTAGGCATACACCTAATTTTCAGGGTTTGGGTTTATTTTCGACTACAGCGACTTAACGAAACCTAAACCTTACTTTTGATAAATAATTTATTGGCTATATTAAGTGGTAGGCCTGTACCACGTTAAATTTGCTTTTATAGTCTCAATTTACTTTGTTTTGGGAACCGCCGGCCTCTATATAATTATTGAGCTTGGGGAGTGCGGCATTTAGAAGCAGATCGAGACAATCACGTTGAAAAGTTCATCATAAAAAGTTAATGATAATATTAAGGAAGCTCCTACAATGTTTAAAATGTACTATTGGTGTTCCACTATAGCCTAAAGTTAATTGTAAATTTAACTCTTTACATGCGAGAGTTTTTTTTAACTAGCCGTTTCAGTTCAGTTTAACAATAAAAAGATTGACTTAACAACATTGTTCACTAACTTTACTTAACAGCATTGTTGTTTTACTTTACAATATTAGTAACGGACCAATGAGGTTCAAGGGTTGAGAGAAAAGAAGTAAAACTGTAATACTTCGAACATCAACTTATCAGCTGTTAAGACCAATTTAATTGATTAAACAATGATGGAGTGGCTGGGACAATGAGCCGTATTAATAAAGATTAGGTAAACCTTTTACTTGCGAAAATTCGAACAAATCCTTCTTTTTATTAATAGGCCTACGGCTCAATGAGTCGTGCATCAAATCAGTGGCTCTGAGAAGTTTTATAACCAAAAACATAACCTCTCCCGAGAACTATGAGTAGTGATTTTTAGTACGGTAATCAAGAAACGGTCGTAGGTAAGTTAGTGTACGCAACTCGCGTAATTTTAAAGACACTTGTGAAGGCTCGTACCCTAAATTTTCTACTTGTGTGTTAAGAAGATTACCCTTACGCGATCATTAGGTGAACAACTATAAATCAATTTATATCACAAGAAACAATAATGTAATGACTGTATGTTCGTCCTTAGGCATTATGCACTCCATCATTATCATTATTTGAGATGGGAACGCACTTTGGTGCATAGGCCTATTTTATAGTGAAGAACGAGTGTAGTAGAATTGAGTGCGATGATCTGAATAACTCTGTTACTGACTAAGATCAGCTCGATACAAACTACAAGTACTAAAAAATCATAATAAAAAAGATCGGCTGTCTGATCACGTGAAATTTTTTGTGTGTAAATAACAATTGGGAAATTGTTTTATGTTTATCTATGTTTGGGAAGGTTGCTGTCTTGATTCAGATTTCATAAATTTCTACACGAACACGATTAGTAGCTCAACGCGCTAGCACCTAATTGAGTTACCGTACCATGTTGAGCTTTCAATTACAGTATTGACTTCCAGTGCAACAGAAGGTTAAGGCCTCAATGCTTGCATTTGATTTGTTTACCAACTACTTTTATTTATAAAACAATGATAATATTTTGTTCAAATAAAAGTCAAATTTTTAATTCTTTGGATTAAACTGTGGGGTAGTGGTATTGTAAATTTTGTTTAATAGCAAAGAAGTACACGGTACATATTCTGATTTTACTATCTCAACCCTATAAAGGGAAATAAGAATAAAGCTTCCACTGAAGCTGTACATAAAATATTGAAATACAGTACTGACTCTTAACTATGACTAAAATACCCCCGCCGCAGCAAACCTGCCGACTAAGCGAATTTCCATTTGTGTGAATTGATTTTTAATTAAATCTATTTAAATAAATTAGGTTAAACGAGTACCTAGGTTTGCTGCTACAAGGAAACTACTGTGGGGTTTTTTAGTAAAATATTAATAGCTTAGTGTAAAATAAATAATTTGCCAAGTTTTATCAAAATATATCCATAAACAAGCAAACTACAACATTTTACAATATTCTCCATAAGAATAACATTCGAATTTTAAATTGATAACTTTTTGAATTTTCTCCGTTACTAATAACCGTACAAAAACACGTTGATATACTAAATTATTTGTTTTTTTAAGCTCTTTAAAAAGGTCTATAGAGTAATTGGGAAATTTTGTGTTTTGAGGGTCAAAAATGAGAAAAACCATTTTTTACCCCATAAAGCCCCCCGGAAAACCCCGTTCCCATGGTCCGATCATGCTGGTTCGTGAACTCATTCAAGTTTATCTTGCCTTACACCTTTGAACCAAATTTCATCAAAATCGGACAAAAATTACTCAAGTTATCGTGCGGATGGACACACATATATATATATAGATAAATAAAAATTTGAACGAATGGTGTTTTTGGCCTCTGGTGACATCAAAATGAAAAAGTAAATCGGTCCCGGGCCTAGGTCTTACCGTGCCACCTACGGTAATAGCTACTTCCCTATAGGAAAATTCGCTAAAATACTAACATCCTAACAATTAATAGCCTAACAATTAGGCTAGTCCCAGAGAAGAGGAGGTTAACAGGAATTCCATCATCACTATTGTAGCAGTCTGCATCTAACGTAGTTACCATGACCAACCCGTTCACTGAATTGCATGTTGATAAAAACAGTGATTGCCGAATCGCCTGCAGGCTTAGTCCATCAGTCATTAGTCCGTTTCCTCGGTTCTCAGTCCAGTCCAGTCCAGTACGCTGTCTGCCATGGCCCTGTCAGCTGTGTTATCAGTGTGTCTTCTGTGTGTCTGTTGCTTGGTCAAATCTCAGAGACATTTTGTACCAGAGGCTAAATTGGAGTTTTTGAATCCTGATGGTCTAAAGATTTCTCTGCCAGGTATGTAAACATACTTGTACATACAATCCAGAGTAAATAATATATTTTTCACCACTCTTTACAGAAAGTATATTTTGATAAGAGCTGATGATACCAAAGAAATTAATTGTTTCCCAAGCTCTAATTTAGAACATGGTAAAACCACCAATCAGCTGATTTGCCCTTGCTCTCAATCAGTTGTCAGTTCTACATTTGCCCACTGCATTAGTGTTTGATTACTATTTATTACTACTATTGTTTAAATCAGCTGTTTTGCTGTTTTTACTGTTTAACAATAGTAATTTGAACAGGAAATATGCACAAACTGATTTTGCTGTGTTTTTATCTTCTAGTGTTTGTTTACTTCATAATTAATGTAACCATGAACTTAAACTAATGTTTACATTGTTATATAGGTTTGCTATGATTTTTGAAATTTTATTTTCAGTTAAAATTTTACTGATGTACCTTTTTCTGTATGTTTAGTATTTTTGCATCAATGAAAATACTTAATCTTAACTTATACCTTAAGTGATTTTCCAACACTTGCTCCAATTATTTCGGTTTGGCGTTTCTGTGTTCAGCTTTGCTTCACAAGGAAATTGAGCATGTACTGGAAAAAGCCACTTTTAGTAGTGCAACTATAGACCCATCTTTATCCATCCATGGCACTGGTTTCTATAATATGCTTACAATATTTACAAATGTTATTATTTTTATTTTAATTGTGAAACAGCACCAATTACCATGGGGCCCTGTTGTTATTTTAGTATTGTAATTCTATAAAATACTACAGTTGATTTTTTCAGGTTATAGTAATACAATTCATTGAATTATAGTTTACCCTTTTAACTTGTAATTAAACTATACAATTGCAATTGATATTCTAGAGGTGGAATAACTTTTGCCCTAAATAAAAAGTTTTGACGATTAATGGTTTATTTTTAACACCATTGATATTTTTAGGTATTTTTTTGCAAGAAAACCCCACATCTTGTTCCTAGCCTTGACCTTTTGTTAGATAGCACACTAAATTAGTACCACAACAACATAACATCTGGGTCTCAATGTGGCCTGTATTTGGACCAGAAAATATTAGAAATAAAGGCGAATCACTCGGCTTTCCCGTCTTTCAAACCATATTTTTTTTATTGCTAGACAATTTCCGCACACAATGATTCCAGTGACTTGCAGATTTGTATCGCTTTTGGGCCAACTTACTAGAAACAATATGGTTTCTCAAACAAATAGGTTCTAATGTACCCAAGAATTCCCTGTAAAACTCATACAAGTAATCATTTAGCGAAAATAAATAACATTTGAATTCCAAATCTTAACACTTAACACTTTTTTCAATTTGTTTTCTTACTTTGAATCATTTTCAGACTGGAATCCCGCAGTGAAACTAGTCGCTTTTCACATCAACATCAACGAAGAGTTCTCTGGCGTAGAGCATGGACAATACGCTGCGGACATCACTAGGAAGAAATCCGGTAGATGGACCTGGGTCATACCTGGGTTCAAGGTTAAACAAGGAGATACAATCTATTACTGGATAAATGTGATTGAGGATAACCAAAGCTACAATGGCCTTGATAGAGAGCACAAGGTCACAGGTAAGTTTGTATTAATTTAGAGGATTACCTTTGCACTAACTATGTTTATTGGACTAATCAAAAATATCAAGATGAACAGTTTTTAACTTTGTATGTTACATGTGGTTATGGATAAAGAGGGGTGTGGTGTATGTGTTAGTAAATGAGTAATTTTTGAACTAGAGGCCATCACGTGGTCGAAAACTCGACCAAAAATATGTAATATACAGACTCCTCCATTTTCACCCCACACTGTAAATAAAACAAGTGAATGGAACTTCTTCAATTTGTTTTGATTTTCTGTTTATATTTCGTTGTTATTTTGTTACCATCATGGCAA